GTTACTGTTCTGTGGTAGTACTTTTTTCTTTTTTCTTGTGTATGTTACAGTATATATATATATATATATATACACAGTTGTGTTCAAAATAATAGCAGTCAGACATCACTAACCTGATCAATCACTGTTTTTGGTAGAAATGATATATTTCTACATGACAAATAATTTACTAGCAGGTGTAGTAGAATAATAGAAATCCAACAGACCCAACAGTCATGACATGCATGCTGCTGATTCTGTGTAATTGAATCACTAATTGAAAGGGGCATGTTCAAAATAATAGCAGTGTGGAGTTCTATTAGTGAGGTCATTAATTCTTTGAAAAACAGGTGGCAATTATTGCCCTTATTTAAGGAAGGAAGGCAGCAAATGTTGTACATGCTGGTTACAGTGCATTTCTCTCTGAAATTCTGAGAAAAATGGGTCGTTCCAGACATTGTTCAGAAGAACAGCGTACCTTGATTAAAAAGTTGACTGGAGAGGGGAAAACATATAAAGAAGTGCAGAAAATGATAGGCTGCTCAACTAAAATTATTGCAAATGCTTTAAAATGGCAACCAAAACTTGAAAGATGTGGAAGAAAGCAAAAAACTACCATTCGAATGGATAGAAGAATAGCCAAAATGGCAAGGACTCAGCCAACAATCAGCTCCAGGAAAATCAAAGAAGGTCTAAAGTTACCTGTGAGTACTGTTACAATTAGAAGACGCCTGTCAGGGCTCCCGGGTATGACCAGAGGTGTGTGACTGACGCAGGGAAACGCAGACTTCAGATATGTTATAAACAATATAATTTATTAACACTAACAATACAAACATAAACGCAGTGCAATACTAAAACATAACACAGTGCAAACAAACCAAACCAACCACCCACAGATGACAGTACATACAATGCAAGCGTCGTCAGGCAGGCCGGGTCAATATCAATCGGGCAGGTAGGTACAGGGGGAGCAAGCGGAGAATGGTCGGGGTCACAAGCCAGGTTCAGCAGGTAGCGGGCAGTGTGGTACAGAGGGTCAAGCAGAGGAGAATGGTCAGACAAGCCAGGGATCAGGAGCAGGAGAATGGTCAGACAAAGCCAGGGATCAGAGCAGGGTCAGCAACGAATCGAACAGGAACAGGGAGCAGGAACAGGATACAGGGCCCAGGAGAAACACACACCAAGGCAGAGTCTGCAGGTCTGGCCATCCTTAAATACACAGTATAATCAGTTCCAGGTGTTTGATGGCTGCAAGGTTGAGTCTCTGATTGCTGGGAGCACCCGCTGGCCAGCCCTGGTACTGCAGCTCATAAGGCAGGTGAGTCCCACCATTGCTGGCCAGTCCATTCCTGACAGTACCCCCCCCAAGGAGCAGCCTCAGGACGCTCCAAACAGTCCTAGCTGGGCAAAATGTTCCACCGCCCGGGTTGGTAACTGGCGGGATATCAAAGACTGGCACAGCGGGCAGGACTCCGGGCAGTGGCACACCGGGCAGGACTCCGGGCAGTGGCACACCGGGCAGGGGCACATCGGGCAGAGGCACATCGGGCTGGACTCGGGCAGAGGCACACCGGGCAGAGGCACATCGGGCTGGACTCCGGGCAGAGGCACATCGGGCTGGACTCGGGAAGAGGCACATCGGGCTGGACTCCGGGCAGAGGCACCATCGGATTACCAGGCGAAAGAGCAGCAGGCAGCGGGCCACCAGGCGGAGCAGCAGCAGGCACCGGGCGGAGCGGCAGGCACCGGGCCACCCGGGCGGGGGCGGCGGGCGCCGGGCCAGCAGCGGGGCGGCGGGAGCCGGGCCACCGGGCGGGCGGACACGGGCACCGAGCCCCCCAGGCGGGGCGACGGTGCGCCGGGGCCCCCAGGGCACATCGGGCAGAGGCACATCGGGCTGGACTCCGGGCAGGAGGGCCCAACCGGGCAGAGACACATCGGGCTGGACCTCCGGCGCAGGGCACATCGGGCTGGACTTCGGGGAAGAGGCACATCGGGCTGGACTCCGGGCAGGAGGCACATCGGATTACCAGGCGAAGCAGCAGGCAGCGGGGCCACCAGGCGGAGCAGCAGGCACCGGGCGGAGCGGCAGGCACCGGGCCACCGGGCGGAGCGGCGGGCGCCGGGCCCCCAGAACGGTATCGAGCGATCAGGTCTCGGGCCCCCAGCGGGAAGCGACAGGTCTCGAGCCCCCAGAGCTGAGCGTACAGGTCTCGGGCCCCCCAGGCGGAGCGACAGGTTTTTCTCGGGCCCCCAGGCGGTGGTAGCGACAGGTCCTCAGGGCCCTCAGGCGGAGTTGCCGTCTGGTCTCGAAAAGGCACCCCAGGCGGGAGCGGGAAGGGCGTCGGGCCCCCCAGGCGGAGCGACAGGTCTCGGGCCCCATAGGCGTGGAGCGGACAGGTCTCAGGCCCCCAGGCGGTAGCGGCGGGCGGCCGGACCCCCAGGCGGATGTGCGAACATGGGCATCGGGCCCCACAGGCGGAGCGGAGCGGCGGCGCCGGACCCCCAGGACGGGTGGTCCGCGGACAGGTCTCGGTCCCCCAAGGCGGAGCGAGGTTTAAGCCGGATGCTGAGCGCCGGACCCCAGGCGGGCGAAGGGTCTCGGACCCCCAGGCAGAGCGACGTTTCCAGGCCCCCAGGCGGTAGCGAAAGGTCTGGGGGCCCCCCAAGGCCGGAGCGGCGGGCGCCGGACCCCCCAGGCGGAGGAGCGGACAGGTCTCGGGAGCCCCCAGGCGGTTAGCGGCGCGGACCGCCGGGAACCCCCGAGGCGGAGAGAACAGGTCTCAGGCCCACCAGGCGGGAGCGTCATGGTCTCCGGGCCCCCAGGCGGTGGTTAGCGTCAGGTCTCGGCCCCCAGCGGAGTTAAGCGACAGTGTCGGGCACCCAGGCGGAGCTGCGGACCCCCCAGGCGGTAGCGACAGTTCCGGGCACCAATGATTGTACTGGGCGGGGCGCCGGGACCCCAGGCGGGCGACGTGAGGTTTCTCGGGCACCCAGGCGGGCTCTTCTTTAGCGGCGGGCGCCGGGACCCCCAGGCGGGAGCGGACAAGGTCTCGTCGGCACCCAGGCGGTGTTTAGGCGGGCAGCTGGCCCCCCCGGGGAGCGAAGGTCTCGGGTAACCCCCCAGGGCGGAGCGATCGGGTACACGGGCCCCTTCTAGTCGCGACAGGTCTCAGCCCCAGGCGAGCGGCGGGCGCCGGACCCCCAAGGCGTGAGGATCGGGGAGGTCTTCGGGCCCCCAGGCGGAGCGGCGGGTTTCGGAGCCCTCCAGGCGGGAGCGGACTGGTCACCTCGGGGCCCCCAGGTGGAGCGACAGGTCTCGGGCCCCCAGGCGGAGCGACAGGGTCTCTGGGCCCCCAGGCGAGCGACAGGTCTCGGGCCCAGGCGGATAGCGGCGGGCTGCACGCCCCCAGGCGGTGAGCGACATGTCTCGGGCCCCCACCAGGCTTTGCAGCGACAGGCGGCCGGGGACCCCCAGACTGGAGCGACGGGTCGCCCCCAGGGGAGCGGCCTGGCGCCTGACCCCCAGGCGGACGAACAGGCATTTTGTTTTTTTTTTCGCGGCCCCCAGGCTGGAGCGGCGGGCGCCGGACCCACCAGGCTGGGAATCGACAGCATTCAGGGTCCCAGGCGGAGCGGGCGCCGGACCCCAGGCGGATTTGGTCTAGCGCAGTTCACGGGCCCCCAGCGGAGCGGGGGCCCGGGCCCCAGACGGTAAGCGACAGGTTTCGGGCCCCCAGGCGGTAGTTGAGCGACAGGTCTCGGGCCCCCATGGTGGAGCGGACAGGTCTCGGGCCCAGGCGGAGCGACAGGTCTCGGGCCTCACCAGGCTGAAGCGACCAGGTCTCGGGCTCCAGGCGGAATGCGTGCATGGGCGCCGACCTCCCAGCGGATGGACAGGCATCGGGCCCCCAATGCGGTTAGCGACAGTTCGCTCGGGCCCCCAGGCGGAGCACAGGTCTAGGGGCCCCCTGGCGGAGCGTGCGGGCGCCGGACCCCTAGGCGGAGTTAGGTAAATCGGACAGGTCTCGGGCTCCAGTCAGTCAGGTCTCAGGCCCCCAGGCGGAGCAACAGGTCTACCAGGCCCCCAGGCGGAGCGGGTTCTCGGGCCCTAAGGCGGATCGGCGGGCGCCGGGACCAGGCGGGGAAGGTCGGTGGCGGGTCTCTTTTTAGCGGCGGGCGAGGACCCCCAGGCGGAGACTCGGCGACTCCCCAGGCAGTGGTTTTCTGAGCGGCCGGGCGCCGGACCCCAGGCGGAGCTGTCGAGCAGGTCTCGGGCCCCCAGGCGGTAGCGGAGAGGTTCAGGCCCAGCGCAGGTCTCAGGCCAGGCGGTGCGACAGGTCTCGCCGGACCCACAGGCGTGAGCGACAGGCATCCGCAAGGGCCCCCAGGCGGAGCGGGGGCTCGGGTCCCCCAGGCGGTAGAGCGACAGGTCCTCGGGCCCCCCAGGCGGGCCATAGCGGACAGGTCTCGGATCCCCAGCGGAGCGACAGGTCGGGCCCGACAGGCGGATAGCGGTGGTGCGCCGGCCCCCACGGAGGGTTCTCGGGCCCCTCAGGCGTGAGCACGGTGCATTGGCCCCCAGGCGGAGCGACAGGTTCGCTCTCAAGGGAGGAGCGGCGGGCCCGGACCCCCAGGCGGAGCGACAGGGTCTCGGGCCCCCAGGAGGGTCGGGCCGGGGCCCGGACGACCAGTACCGCGGACAGGCGATTGTTTAGCGACCGGTCACGGCCCAAGGAAGTGAGCAGCGGGCGGGCCCACCAGCGGGCCGACAAGGTACCCCCAGGCGGAGCGGCGTGCGAACCCCCAGGTCTTGGCATCTGGCACCCAAGCGGTAGCGGCGCGGCGCGTGGACCCCCAGGCGGAGCGGACAGGTTCTCGGGCACCCAGGCGGATGCGGCGGGCGCCGGAGGCGGAGCTGGTAATAGCGACAGGTCTCGGGTCCCCAGTCGGAGCGGACTGGTCTCAGGGCCCCCAGGCGGAGCGACAGGTCTCAGGCCCCCCCAAGCATCAGGTCAGGTCTCAGGCCCCCAGGGCAGCGACAGGTCTCAGGCCCCAGGGTGGATAGGTTCTCAGGCCACCAAGGGGAGCGACAGGTCTCAATGCCCCAAGCAGGCGGAGCTTCTCAGGGCACCGAGTGTTCACACAGGCACGACAGTGGGCTCCGAGTCAATTGGCATGACCCGCTGGCACTGGGTCAGACATTGGATCGTAGTTCTGGGCTGGACAGCGGTTGGCATCGGGTCACCAGGCATCAGGTCATTTGGCTCGACAGCGGGCACCGCGTCAAGTGATCTGGCAAGGCAGTGGGCTACCGAGTCAATGGGTATAACCGCGGGCACTGGGTCAGACATTGGGATCGTCTGGCTGGACAGCGGGCATCGGGTCACCAGGCATCAGGTCATTTTGGCTCAACAGCGGGCACCGCGTCATCTGACAAGACAGTGGGCACCAAGTCACCAGGCACGACAGTGGGCTCTGAGTCAATTGGCACGACAGCGGGCACCGGGTCATCAGGTACCAGATTGTCTGGCTCGACAGCGGGCATCGAGTCTACTGCCTAATAGGATCATCAGGCTGGATTGAGGGCATCAGGCTGGGTACAGGCATCAGGCTGGGTACAGGACCTCAGGCTGAAGTGCGGGTGCTGGCACCCAGGCTGAACCACGGAAGGCAGGTTCTCAGACGGCAGGCTCACCGGTTTGGATACTGGCAGGATGGTACTGGTTGGAAAGAATTTTCGCTTTTTTCTGGTTTTAACTACTGGAGCACTGCAAGTAAACACAGGTCTGCAAACGAATGGAGCTGCTGGAGACAGAGAAGAGCTGGAGGATGGAACAGGGGAGTGAACAGTTGCTACAGAGGACTTCTTTACAGGGTTAAAGGCAGGATAGGTGCAGCGAGTGGGAACAGGGTACTGACATGCGGTAGATAGCAGGGCAGGAGGAGCTGTTGGGAATGCAGGAATAGAGCTTTGAGGAAATAGATTAGAAGCAGGACTGGGTTTTTGTAAGCTGACTGAGGCTGGGTGCAACAAATCTGTCCATGTCTGCAGTATGGGTTGAACAAAGCTGAGCTTACACAAAGCCTGTCTGACCAAAGACTGCACTGCGTTTATACAATCTCTTAGTGTCTGTGGTGAACATGTGGAATAACGCTCCAAGAAGCAATCCACATCATCCTCTAATAACCATACCAGGGACTCTACCTGGTCGGCACTAAATGGCGGCAAAAATTCATCCCTGCATTCGGGGGTACCAGATGAAACCAACTCCGCACAAATCTGAATCAATGGCTGCACCTCAGAGAATTCTGTGCCCTGATCTACTAGAACATGAGCGAGCCGTATACATTCTAGCAGTTCATCCCGGGATACTCCTTCAGAGTTTGATAAGCATACTCCCTGTCATCAAACACTAGCAGATATAAATACGCAACCTCATCAAGATCCATTCTTCCCATCAACAAAACCAAGATGGCTTCCCTGTGCAGCCACTTCTGGTCAGGATTTGCCTTGGTTAATGTCAGGGCTCCCAGGTATGACCAGAGGTGTGTGACTGATGCAGGGAAACGCAGACTTCAGATATGTTATAAACAATATAATTTATTAACACTAACAATACAAACATAAACGCAGTGCAATACTAAAACATAACACAGTGCAAACAAACCAAACCAACCACCCACAGATAACAGTACATACAAGCAAGCGTCGTCAGGCAGGCCGAGTCAATATCAATCGGGCAGGTAGGTATAGGGGGAGTAAGCGGAGAATGGTCGGGGTCACAGCCAGGTTCAGCAGATAGCGGGCAGCGTGGTACAGAGGGTCAGGCAGAGGAGAATGGTCAGACAAGCCAGGGAGGAGCAGGAATGGTCAGACAAAGCCAGGGATCAGAGCAGGGTCAGCAACGAATCGAACAGGAACAGGAACAGGGAGCAGGAACAGGATACAGGGCCCAGGAGAAACACACACCAAGGCAGAGTCTGCAGGTCTGGCCATCCCTTAAATACACCAGTATAATCAGTTCCAGGTGTTTGACTGGCTGCAAGGTTGAGTCTCTGATTGCTGGGAGCACCCACTGGCCAGCCCTGGTACTGCAGCTCATAAGGCAGGTGAGTCCCACCATTGCTGGCCAGTCCATTCCTGACAACGCCTATGTGAAGCCAAGCTATCTGTAAGAAGCCCCCGCAAAGTCCCACTGTTGAAAAAAAGATGTGCTGAAGAGGTTACAATTTGCCAAAGAGCACATTGACTGGCCTAAAGAGAAATGGCGCAACATTTTGTGGACTGATGAAAGTAAGATTGTTCTTTTTGGGTCTAGTGACTGGAGACAGTTTGTCAGACGACCCCCAAACACTGAATTCAAGCCACAGTACACTGTGAAGACAGTGAAGCATGGTTGCACAAGCATCATGATATGGAGATGTTTCTCATACTACGGTGTTGGGCCTATTTATCGCATACCAGGGATCATGGATCAGTTTGAATACATCAGAATACTTGAAGAGGTCATGCTGCCTTATGCTGAAGAGGAAATGCCCTTGAAATGTGTGTTCCAACAAGACAATGACCCCAAACACACCAGGAAACGTGCAACATCTTGGTTCCAGACCAACAAGATTGACGTTATGGCGTGGCCAGCCCAATCCCCGGATCTTAATCCAATAGAAAACTTGTGAGGTGACATCAAAAATGCAGTTTCTGAGGCAAAACCAAGAAATAGAGAAGAACTGTGGAATGTAGTCCAATCATCCTGGGCTGGAATACCTGTTCACAGGTGCCAGAAGTTGGTTGACTCCATGCAACACAGATGTACAGCAGTTCTCAGAAACAGTGCTTATACAACTAAATATTAATTAATGATTCAAAGGAAAGCAAAATCTTCAAACATTTGTTAGTTTATATAGTGAATGTTTGAGTTTGTAAAGAAGAATACAAACACTACTATTTTTTTTGAACAGTCTAATATTCACTTTTATTCAATTTTTTTAGAGGAACAACACAAATTTTATATATTTTTCTTCATGTTTTGATTTGGAATAGAATGTGTAGTGTTCCCAATGCATTTGTGTGTATGGAAATAAAAGCTATTAGGAGGATTTTGAGCTTTAATCACTTTTTTCAACACACTGCTATTATTTTGAACACAACTGTGTATATATATATATATATATATATATATATATATATATATATATATGCTTTGGATTGCAAGGTGCAAGCATGAAAGTTAGAAGAAATATACATCTGGAGATACATTTGCAAATAAACATGTTTCAGCATGATATGCACGTATTATCAGCTTAGTGTTGTGCTCATGGAAGCATCATAGTGCCTGTACTATAAATACTAGTGGTTTCCGGAAAACAAAAGCCAGAATTTTCTTATGCAAATACCTTGGATTTCAGTAGCCTTACACACCTGACACAAGTTTCAACTTATCCAAGGGGTAGAAAAGAAATCCTTTATAAAAATATAAAGCAGCTGACTAGTTTAGTCAGTATCACTCTATGTTGACTGGGGGATGAGGTGGTGTGGTGGTGGGATGATTGCTTTGCCTAAGCAAAAGGGTGAAATAGGTGGCAGAGAGGCACTATGTACAGGGTGGAGGTGGGGTGGGTGGATTGTTTGTGCTGTGACTGGGGGTTCAGATGGGTTGCAGGGAAGCACTAAATGGGAGGAAGAGAGGAAAGTGAGGTCAGATGGCTATCATACTGAGCTTTTCATAGCATCTCTCATCTGACCTCAGGTTAAGGTTGCCACCTCATCGCTTTAAAACCAAACACATAATAACTGCTTTCCCGCCATCCTATAGCGGAAATTCTGCTACAGGGTGGCAGGGGTGCACAAAATAACGTATATATATATATATGATTTTGCATTGGCAGCCTCACCTGTCAATCACGGGTCCTGGAAGGTGATTCCCTGCCGGCACCCGGCGATCATCGTGTATCACCAACGGGGGAGAGACCTGTATGTAAACAATACAGATCTCTCCCCTGTCAGCTCCTGCTATGTGTGTGCTTACAGTGTAAAGCACACACATAGCACACAGTATAACAGCACACAATTAACCGTTTGATCACCCCAGATGTTAAGCCCTGTCCAGTGCCATAGTACAGTGTCCGTGCTTTTTATTAGCACTGATTACTGTATTAGTGTCACTGGGGATGTCAGTGGCAGTTAGACAGTTCCCACCCAGTGTCAGAATGCCTGCTGCAGTCCCGCTATAAGTTACTGATCGCCTCCATTACTAGTACAGAAAAAAATAAAATTCAAGTATCTATACCGCCATTTGTAGATGCTATAACATTCATGTAAACCAATTAATTTACACATATTGGGATTTTTTTTTAGCAAAGACATGTCGCAGAATACATTTTTGGCACAGATTTATGATGAAATTTTATTTCTAAATTTTTTTACTCAACATATTTATTAGCAAAAAGTAAAAAATATAGTGTTTTTCTTAAAATTGGCGGCCTTTTTTTTCATAGTGCAAAAAATAAAAACTGCAAAGACAATCAAATACCACCGAAAGAAAACTCTATTTGTGGGAAAAAAGGACATCAATTTAATTTGTGTACAGTGTTGCATGACCGCGCAATTGTCAGTTAAAGTAATGCAGCACCGTATTGCAAAAAATGGCCTGGACAAGAAAGGGGGTAAATCCTCTGGAGGGCAAGTGGTTAATTACACAGGTTCTGTGGCTGATGGAGGTAGTAATTAAACTCACTTAGTGCCTTATCTGCATTAAATTAGCCTCAAAAACCTGTGTAATTAAAATGTGTTTGGTTTTAAAGTGATGAGCTGGCAACTCTACTTCAGGTGGATGAGAGGAACTTGCTGAGGGTTAGGTGGCTGATTAGTTGGGTGAGCAATGAGACTAACAATGAAAGTATCTGAGAGGCAGAAATTGCAATAACAATGGCTTCTGTGTCCACCTTCCTGCCATGATCCCCATCAGACCAATTTGAAGTAGCTTTGCTGTCCTCCTCCCTTCTCTAGCTAGGCCCTGATGGAGGAGAGGGAGGCATGGGATGAGGGTACGAAATAGGGGGCAGAAGTGAAGGATGGAGGTGAGGAGTGGAAATCAGCAGGGTTCTTTATGGGCTAAGGAGCAAGAGACAGCAGCCTTGCATTGGGGATAAGAAGTGAGAGACAGCAGCATGTGATGAGGGGAAAACAGTGGGGGATGGGGGAGGAGTGGAGGAAAGTAGCGTCACATCAGGGATGATGAAATGGAGACCAGTATTGGATTAGGGTCAAAGTGTGGAAGACAGCTGAGTCTGATGGGTCAGATGGGGAAGGGGGGGCTGAGGAACAGGAAACAGTGGCATTGGGTGGAAGGTGAGAAACAGGAAACAGCAGCATCAATCAGATGGGTGGGTGAAGGGTGAACAATAAAAGCATAGGGAAGATGAGAAGCAGGGGACTTCAGTCTTAGATGAGGGTGAGGAATTGTAGACAGCAGAGAGGGATTGGGAAGGAGGAGTGGGGGACAGCAGAGTCAGATAACGGAGTAAGGAATGGGGGACAGTGGAAATATGTGAGAGAGCAGTGTTGGATGTGGAGGGAGAGCAGGGAAGGATAGTTTTGGCCTGAGGGATTAGGAGTGGGGGACAGGTGTTTTAGATGGGGGGGGCAAGGAGTGTCAGATGAAGGTGGGGAGCCTGGACAGAAGT